ATTGTAAGTGTTCCGGTCCAGTGGCGTAGCCACAAATCCCCTCCAGGTGCCCCCAATGAAAAAAAGATGAATGGATATTGAACAAGGCTAACAAAAACTTGCCTCAAAAAACACACCACTGAAAGCAGGTGCCCCCCCCCTCGATAAGATGCTGGTGCCTCCATATGCCCCCACTAGTAAATCCTAGCTACGCCACTGCTCTGGTGGTGGAGCAGGCTAAAGGCACATCAGCGCAAGCTTGCAGGTAACGCAGGTTCTGGACTTGCCTTGGGCAATACGACAATAAGCATCCAATCAATATTACAACTGGTATTTTGCATCGGTACTTAATGACATCATTGGCCTAATATGGATTGTAAGGAGGTTGGCTATTGGACTGTTGACATGCATAATGTTGGTGTGAATGCAGTACAACCGAATGTTGTGAGAATTTTGCATAGTCATGCAAACTGAATGTAATGTAGTTTGTTGCATGTTTTCAGCTGTGAATTCTTGGTCCACGCTTTTTATTTAATGAGCACCTCGTTACATCAGTAAATCATTAATTAACTGATCATAGGCCCATCAGCTCACTCTGATCTTGTAGCATACATCTTCAGAAACTTTCCACTGCAGCATCAACATCTTAAGGTGATAGAGCTTTCTCAGCGGATACTCCCAAACTCTGGAATGTGCTTCCGTTGTCTAACAAATGAGCAAAGTCTTTCAATGATTTTGAGAATACTTTTGTATACTTGCGACTACGAATGATTGTGTAAAGGGGAAATTTTTAGTGTGAAAGTGTTTCAACAGTGTTTCATCATTTTTTAGGTATCTGAATAGTTTTTACAACATTTCACTACTTTTCGTCTGGTGCGGTTCTAGAACCATTTTTTTGGGGGGTTGAGGGGGACTAGACACTTGATGTACATGTAACCAGTTAACTTTTGCTTCTGCTCTTTACTTTTGGAGAAAAAAATCTAATATATATATTGCCATAATGACCCTGCAAAATGATTACTGACTATTCATTTAATTAAAAAAAATTGCAGAGTCGCGATTCCAATATTGTTGAGCTGGGGGAGGGGGCTTCATTCCCCTGGCCCCGCATAGAATCGGGCCTGTTATTCATTGATGTGACATCTGTATCGGTCTGATTTTTATTCTTCTTGGGTTTTAAATTCTGTTATATTTTAGTTTTCTCTTCGTTTTATTGATGAGCGCTTTGAGGCACTTCGATTAATATTGCGCTATGTAAATGCTGTGCGTGAATTATTATTAAATTATCACTCGGTTCAGCTGCAGCACTAATTAAACTATTTAACGGTATTTCGTTCTCACAAAATGAAAAAAAAAATCAGTACACAGAAAGAATACATACAAAATCCCTGCAGATACCACAATACAAAGGACAAAAGATATATACAAAGGAGAGGGGGAATCTAATAAATGTGTACTCAGTTATGATACATACGGCTCTAACAAAATTGTTTAACTTAAACCAGTAATTAAACGAGGGTGCCCTCTCTGTCTGATGGCGTTAATTATGCCATGTGATTCAAATATCTAAATAGAAATACAAACACCATGAAACGATACATATAGTAATTGCTGATCCTAGACCGTAAAAGAAGAACCAACAGGTGCGTCAAGTCAATACTAATTTGTTCATTTTGTATGTATAGGTGCTTGATTATTGTTTTGGGACCTTGTTTTTCCTATGAAAAAGATAAACAGAGATTCAGTGTCTCCCAGTTTTTACAGGTCGCTGATGGAAACCTAAACATTTGTAACTTTTGTTGGATTTACTGATATACATGTATAGAACATATTAGTTCACATTAAGCTCTTGTTTCTCGAAGAAACTTTTGGGAACGTTTTATTGGCCTTGTTCTCGGACACAAATAGAAACGGCAGGGATCAAATATCTGTTTACACTTTCTCCGGTTAGTGTAAGATGAGATAGCACTGGACTATTGTGACATGTTGAAGTGGTACTGCGCGGTTGCATAATAAATTCTGTTAAAATTTTTAAGACGAAAACTTTTAAAATCATCAATCAGATCCTATGTTCAATCTTTTTTGAAGGTAACAAATTAGTTTTATTTTTTTATTATTTTTATACCGTCAAACTGACCTACCTTGCGACAGAGTCACCAAACTTGCAAAAGTAGTGATCGCCACAAACCACCACGATCTTGGAAGGTGGTACATTTTAGCGAAGCCCCTCTTTCTTTCTCACTCCGCCACCGCCTTGCCAATGTTTCCAAAATTTCTTATCTGAAGCGGTTTCTTAAGATTCGAAACCAGCAAACCTTTCCTTGCTAGACATTCTCCAACGGTTTATCAAGCGCTTCAACCTCGGAGCAAGGTGGAGATGTCACCAGGATTCGGAAAACTCCCCACCCAGAAGGACAAACACGAAGTGCGCATGTCCATTCTATAGTTTGCGGTTATGTAATTTCATGTTTGCTTTGGATGCTTGCTTTGTTAAGTCTTCAGCTCGCGATAGTCAAAAAGTTTTCACCGGCCACGTTCTTAAAAAGGAAAATGGCGAGTCTAGTCATTTGGGCAAATATCAGTCTTGCCCTACAAAAGCCTGTATGGAAGATTGCTGGATCCAGTACACAAATAACAGGTTGCTGGTTTCAGCGTATTTGACAGTTTTTGTGAGATTAGATCCATGAAACTGACGATACACCTGCAAGTTCCTCGTACTGAGATTAAATTCTCATAAGTTTGTCCATTCAACAGTTACCGTCATTTACACAGTAGACAAAACTTGACGGGAACGTGTAGATAACCATTTTTATTAGGTGAATGTTAATTCCATGACTTTAAATTTATTCAGATATTTTGTGTTTTATTTAAAAAATTATTGCATTTACAGTGAAGCGTTTCTAAAGCCTAGCCATAATGTATTTAAGCTGTTATGGTTTGTGAGTGACTTCTGGTTAATATTTCTCGAAAGTACTCGTTTGATATTGACATAGTCTTGTGAATGTCGCGTCGAAAGTAATAACTTGGCTTATTTAAAAGTGTTCATGACTAAAACAGCCACCGAATGAAAAATGAGCGATAATTGCTACAATTATAATCACAGTTCTGAGTTAACCTTAGTCAGGACGTTAAAATGGGAATGGTAGTGTCACATGCATCTTGCCATTATGAAAGATGATGGGACTCTACCAAGGAAATATGTGAAATTTGCAAATGCGCTTATCCTTGAGTTCATTGAAACCTGGATCTGAACAGTTTCATTCTCATCCTTACATTCCACAGAAGCCTTCCCTATTGAATTCTTGCTTTGCGTTGGCAGGTGTGTACACTGTCAGAACTTAATACTTGAGGCTACTGCTAAATATTCAAGAGTTTGTTTTGCGGATTACCGTTTTTACAGTAGCTAAATAGCGAACAGTTCACCGTTTGCTTCCACAAAACGAGTCGTATGAATAAAAAACAGCAAATGCGAGTGAAGTTCAAGCAAACAGCAAAATACTTATTACCAAGTAAAAGCACTTAGAAATAGCTAAAGCATGAAGTTGTTTAAGTGAAAATTTTCTGTTGCTATTCAACATCTTCTTGTACAAATTGTAGCAAATGTTTAATGCTGGTGGTTGACTGTACTGCCGAGTGGTTTTAACATTATGGCTTCCTTTAGTGGATGTATAGAGACACTCAGGGCAGCCTGGAGCTGATGCAAAATGCCTACTTTGCAAGTTGTCATTCATGGTCATTTGCTGAAAACGTAATTCACCGTGTGGATGGAATTTTCGTTTTCCTGCCTCGCGAGGAGTATGAGTGAGAACTGTGTTGCTTTGAAATGGCACCGGTCGCGACAAACAGCCACAAATAATGACTCTTTTACGCAGCAGAAAGTTCTATTGTGAGGCTTTAAGAGTGATTACCAGGATTTGTTTTTGATGATTTGTCTGCCACTGCAGAAAACAGGCAAAATATTTTTGTTAACTTGTAGAACTGCATCATGTGGGTTACCGACGAGGTCTTGAAATCGGTTCACTTGCTTGTATTCAGATTCTTCATAGACAGTTCTTCCTAATAAGGCAAAGCATTTTTTTATTTCTGATTCATAAACGCTGCCATTTTGTGCTCTGAAGCATTTGCTTCACCATACTTTTCCAAGGTTGCTTTGGTCCAGTCTTGAAAATTATAAATCAAAAGTACCTGCTCCTTTTTTTTCATACAGATTGAAGAAAATATGCATGATCTAGCGAAAGCAAGAAGAATAAAGAAGTAAGAAGTGTTCATTTTAAAGAAACTTTAATGCTTTTCAGTATAAGCTTTCTCTGTGTTATTAAATTCGTACAAACACGACTGTACGCTAAAACCTGGTCGTAAGAGCAAATGCTAGTTTTATTCATACAACCCAAAATCATGACATAATGAGTATAATAATGTTAAACCTTCTGGCAGCAGAGTGAAATGTCATAAGTCCACTGGATCCCTGATCACTTCAGATGTGCATGTGTTCGTTCGTATACAAACATTTTGGATGTCAGTTGAAGGCGTAGGCGTAATAGTGTTCCAGTAGTTGTAAACGCCGAGAGAAATAAATCGATTATGGATTAAAGATTTACAAACATTTTTTCTTTGTGTCGGCTTGTCGTTATGTAATAGAATAAACAGCATATTCATTTCCGAACGATTCTACTCTATGTTATGTGTTCCTTGCGGAAGTGAGAGAGGGCGCTTATTACCTAGCAACGAATGTGCCTTAGGCCGACACACCTGTTGTGTCCACGCTTGGTCTTTGTGTGAATACGTAGCTGCCTCATTCAGTGCGTCAGCGGAACTGCTTTTTCAGTGGTGAGGCTGAAATAGTGCCATTTTGCTGTGCTTGTGCACGGAGATTTATTCAATTCTGATGCAATCAGATTAAAACTTCTCTTCTATTTTCCTAATTCCCAGACATCAAAACTGTGCGAAATGAGTTGCAATTCTATGTTAATATCTTTCGATTTTATTGCACATTCGTTCTTATATTCATGGACCCATTTGGCGTCAGACATTGTTCGACCCACAAAGCGTCTTTGGATATTTCCTGAAGGAATTGATATTAGATGTCTATTATGTACGACATGCCCTCCTGGGAATGTGCAGAACAGTTAGGCCTATCACTCGCGTATATCCACATGCAGAAATAATGGAGTGGTAATATAATGCACGTGTCCTTAATATCATACGCAGTTTTCCGTGACAAAATGGAGCCGCAGTAATAATTTCGAGAAAGTTTTGATTGTTCCCAGAAATCACCTTTAATAGCCAATTGGCAAAATGGTATCCATGGCATCAATCAATAAAATGACAGAAAGGCATACATTTGAAGATGCAGTAAAACAAAAACATTTCAAAAGGCATACATTCCTCTTTATGATGGAAATGTGGTTCACACCTAAACTATTTCTGTGCCCTCTTCTCAAATACATCTCCTAAGTTTCTTGAAGTAAATCAGAGATAAGATGTGTGTGCTTAAAATTACGGATTTTCCGAGAACTTCATTTTAAAACTTTGTTTATATTTCTACGTTTATTGAGACTGTAACCTATGGCTTGGGACTTGTTTTGAGTTGCAATATTAATTTACAAAATTTTACGACTGGTCTCCTTTAGTCTCTGCAGAAGACGAAGAGAATGTAGCATTTGCCCCTTAGTAGTATAACACCTGCTTTCTTAAAAACCTCTGAGTAACTTTTGTGGTGACTTGATTATTATTCCACAATTTCCAGTTATTGTGCGCAAATCAAAGCTTCTGTCTGTGAAGCCCGTCGGAAGTCACGGACCATGCTTTTTTACGGTTTAATTCTGAGCAGACTGGTTTTGTGTATAGCTTGTCGTAATGAACTAGATTCATTTCATTATGCTGATATTCCGTTTCATATATTGTGGAGAGAAATCAAAGATAAGTGTTGGCCATTGCAGCTGTTTGAATCACGTGCATCATATGTCTTTTTATCTAAGAAAAACACACACCGACTGTTATAGTCTGTAATGTCTAAGGGGTTTGTGTGAAACAACACGATTATAGGGTAACTGTTCGGTGTAGTTGTATACGACGTGTTCATTCTGCAAGACCAGAAGTAGATTGCACAGTACATGTCTGAGGCATTTGTCATTGACGGCAATTATTCATCTGTGGCCATTCGCGCTTGAGCTGACGAATTAATGAACAGAGACATTTTAATTCAAATTCTCTGCGCCTTTGACTGTCAGAGACATAAGTGAGTACCAAGTAATAAACTACCCGGAAATTAGTGGCGGGAACGGCATTGGCAGTGTTGGCGGGGTTGTTATGGCGGCTTCCCTCAGTAAATTGATTTCGAGTTCACCATAAAACCTCCTTTACTTTCAAGCGAAGTGCAATCCTGCAGTGCATTTGTGCTGTTCTTGGTAATTATAGTATGCGATACAACCGTCAGTTGGTGGAGAGGGGCTGACACTTTTTGTGGCGTGAGTATTTCTGCTTCGAGTCAAGTACTGGACGAGCCGAATACACACCTCACTGCAAATCCAGTCCGTGCACTAAGCCTTGCACATCAGCATCCAAATGGACGATTTACATTTTATTAAGGAACGCAGCTCTTCATCCGTAACAAAGCCATCTGGGTTATCTGATATGGACTTGAACCATGAATATCAACATTTCTGAACCGATGCTTGAAGACAGTGGACAAAATGTAACTGGAAACATGTTATTTGATGAACGAACTCTCTCAGTACCTGATATATTCATCTTTGTAATCTTTCCAATCGGTCTCCTTACCAACTGCACTTTTCTTGTCGTCATCGCACGTCACAAATTCCTTCGAATTCCATTCAATATATTTCTTTCCAACCTTGCAGTCAGCGGTGTCATCTACTTAATCCTTGCTCTGTCTTTCACATGCATAAGTAACAAGGAGGACCCATTTTTGCGCGGATTTTGTTTCTTGTTTTCTGTCTCCTACGTAGCCACCAGCTTATTCGTTACTGTCGTCGCCACTGAACGCTTTCTCGCTGTATGTTTCCCGTTGAAGTATACCATCCTTGTCAACGACCGACACCGGGCCTGGAAGATCTCTGCTTCTGCCTGGCTGACTGCTGCAATCTGTGGCGCACTGGTTAAACTGGTGGTGTTCCTGTCCAGCTTCGAAAAGAGGGCTCTTCTCTTCGTCATAATTTTCTTTTGCTTGGTTTTCCTAACGGTCAACAGTGTCTTGTATGCCTGCATCATTGTGCGTTTGTGGAAACGCCCATTGACATCATCGTGCGTCCATCGTCGCGTTGTTACCAAATTAGCGATCACTGCGTTAGTGGTGTTTTCAGTTGATACGACCCACGTCATATACATCATCTTACATTACTTCTTCGAGGAGAAGTTAAACAAGACACCCTTTGAGATGATTGTTTTGTGTTTGAATGTTGCGAGTGCCACCATTAACCCACTCATGTATGGTGTGGTGAATTTCGAGTTACAGAAACTTTCAGTCAGGAAGGTCCTTGGGAGATGGTGCTGTAAGGTCAACCGAGCTCAGGAATTGACAGAGAACCAGCCCCCATCTCGTTCTTTCAAGAGAGCAACTGACATCTTAATTGATCGATCTCCGGTTCAAACCACTGATAAATAACAAACCGTCCCGGACTTGAGTTTGATGAGAGAGGAGAATTTAAAGTTTGTGTAGTTAAACGGTTTTTGAAAGGTTTCAGATACCTACTGGATTGCACTTTAAATGTGAAGATTGCAAGATTTTAGCAAGTAGGTATAATTACATTGCATTTGTATTCATTGACACCTAATTAACATATTCCTTCCTAAAAGCTGATTGCCATTGGTAGAATCAAATACATTGTTATTCTGTGTACGTTGATGCTGTGTACAGAAAATCTCATAGTGTTTAATTCCATGGATGGTGAAAATATTATAATACACAGTACTTTATCTCATGCAGTTGTCCTGCTTTTGAAATAAGTTAAAACTAACGATTTATTTTGTTGTGGCAAAATGACTTAAAAATGTGAGGCTGTATCCAGATTGATTTACTGCATTTTGGCCCTTCTGTCTCCTGGGGCAAGAGACGAACAGGGCTAAGCATTCCCCAACGTACTTTCCCATCCTACATAGCTTGTGTAAACATTAGAAAGAAATCAAAAGAGAAAACAAGTTTACAAATTTTGTTTTTCGCTGTTTTATCTCGTCCGGTTGGCAGTTATTGTAAATAGATTATGTGGAGTTGAAAATGCCGTCGTCCAAATCTTTTTGTCGGAGTCAAGTTACCTCTCGAGCTGCTCTGTAAATGCGTCCTTATGATCACGTGTTTTTTGTATTTTGCCCTCTGTTGAAGTAAAGTGGAATCGCCCCTTACAAACGACGGAGGCATTCTGTGACAGCCAGCTATCTTGTAGCATTGATTTATTGCTTTTGTTCCACAAATGGAAACACTTGCATCTACATGTAATAAGAACGGAAGGAAGCAAGGAAGGAACAAACTCATTTGCATATTTTGTCCTGGATATAAAGTATTGTCCTTGTGTTTAAACGACGTTGGAATCCTATTCGTACAATGACCAGTTGATTACTTAGAGAATTCTTTAACTAAGCCAGACTTTTGATATATTTATCACAGTTTTAGTCCATGTACTCGACTCTCATAATTTGGATTAAATTTTATTGACTAAACTTATTGTTTCTTTACAATTTTGAAGGAAACACTTGCGACAAGAAATATCTTTGAATCCTAGGCTTCTCTTAACCCTTGTCAATCCTAAACCTGCGACTTTTGACCTAACCCCGTGTCAGAAACCCCAGCGAACCCCCTTACAGTAGTACCACTGATGAACGCTGAGCCTGCTTACACTTTCATCACCCCAGAAGTGCTGCTACGTGCCCTGCATCGTTTCTAGAACAGAAGCGTTGAATGCGTCATTACTGTGTGCCATATGCATGCCCAACAATATTGTAATCTGGCCTACTGTATGAATATTGTGGGTAAACATTCAGTTTGTAATACGTGCCTCAATTCATCTCTGATTTGTCACGCCGTGTCGCCTTCACTAATGAATTGTTTAAGAAAGAGTGATTGATGTGAGAACAGTCAAATGGACGTTTTCAACTAGTAAGGATATGAACTAGTTATATGCCATCACTGACTGACCAAAGTCACAGCTCCATTCTAGAATCTAAACTTAGAAGATCTCTGTCAATGACAGTTCTTTGTCGGCCTTTTTTATGACGTTGTTCCCGATTTGACTTTTTTCTTTTGCTTGCCATTTGAGATTGAGTTTTAAATCGTCGGGTAAATGCTGGTTTATAATGTCAAGTACCACGTGTATTAAGTACGTGTACTGTATGTTCCATGATGACGCGAGACGAAAAAGGCACTGTAAACCGTATGTCGAGCTTATGCGCGCCATTGGCTTGCGTCTTTACCTTGCTAAAGGATGAATGATAAACTCTAATCAGGCCCAATTTAAGACAAAAGGGAAAGCTGGTATTATCACGGACCAAATGGTTGGCAGTTTCATGGACCGCCCCCGGATACCTTGAACGGTTTACGCACGGCTAGCAATGGATGTCATGTGTGCGTTCTACTGCGCCATGAAAACAGTACAAAGCCTTCTCATATCATTAAACCAATAAGTAATTCATGACGTTACATGTTCTCTGTGTCCTTGCAAAACACTAATTGTGTTTTGTGTTGCTCGTGCTGTTGAGTATCGAACGTGAGCTTGTATAAATGTGCAAGTGGTCTAGATAAATCATTCATCGCAGTGTGACATTCTTATGTTTATTGCGTTGCCAGGCTCCCATTTTCCAGTCTTTTTCATGTAATTTGTATTTATAATGATGCTTCAGCGAATTTTGCTATTGAACGATAATTGCTTTTACCGGTTGACAATAACGACTGAAACGAGTGTATATTAGGGATATAACATGAAAATTTTGTATGTCTTGATCAACTAAGCAGAAAGTCCAACTAATTATTGCAGCTTTTCAACACCTTCATTTTTGTGTGTGTTGCGAAATAAAAACTTTGACTTCTTGCTTTGCTTAGTACAGTGTATAGTTTCTATTGTCATTGCTATACATGCGTAGATCGTTTGTACTTCAACTGTCATTGAAGTGAAATAACAAAAATGCTCTTGTGAGGGCACTCCATGCAGCTCTTCTAGGTGAAAAACCAACTGTTATGGACTTTTTATTTTGGTGTGTTTGGGGATGTTTAGAACGCCCATAAACCATTTGATGCAATTATTGTCGTACATGTCGTACCGTGGCAGATATCTTGTTATTGATCTTTTTGCTCATTAGATCTTTTACTGACGCGAACAAATATGGACCCTGGCCAGTTCCACTTCTCCTCTCTGGAATCTTAGGTGTATGTTTTGCATCCAGTCTTTTTGCTTCCGTCGTAGCAGCAGAAAGACATCTTGGAGTATGCATCCCAAGGAAATGTTTTTAATTTCCAACAATAAACGGAGAGCTGTCAAAATTTGCCTTATTGTTTGGTTAACCGCTGGAATCTAAACAGCCTTGTTCGTAACAGCACGCGTGTTCCGCCAAGTAAGACAAGCAGCTTCTGCTCTTTTTGCTGTTTTCTATCTGGCAGTTTGGGTGATAGATGGCTTCTGTTATGTGAGCAGAATGAGACGATTGTGCAAGCGTCATGGACAGGGTCGACGTTTGTCCTTTCAGCGCATAATGATCAAATTGACTATCACTGCGCTAATGATCTGTACGAATGACGTAGAACAAGTCATATTTGCGATCTTGAGATACTTCTTCTGCATGGAGTTTAAAAGGGGCAACGTTCCGAACGCATTGTTACTTCTGAAGGTTACTGCTTCAACAGTCAGTCCTCTTGTGCATGGTTTTCTCAGCTTGGACCTCCATGAACCTTCAGCAAAAAACGTATTTGGCCTTTGCTGTCACAGGCAGGCTTGAGAGAAAAAAAGGTCTGTGTGATACATGCCGATTAACCAGACACGGACACTTGAGGCAAAGTCTGTGATGATAACAGTCATCAATAAACTTTAAGTGAGGTTGTTTAGTGTTTGAAATTTGAGGCCTGAACGCAATGTTAAAAGTGAATAAACATTATAACGAAGATAATTATTTCCTTGCTGGGTGTTAAGGCCATCGAGTTGAACATTTCGGAAACCGATGAGTTTCTATCTACTGTAGGAACTAATGCCAATAGCAGAACGGTTCTTTGCCATGTAACTTTCTACCTACAGTGGAGCGGCCAGGAAGGTCAAATTTGCATTGACAAGGAAAATACAAATCTGACCACGTAACTACTCTCTGAGGGTTTCGGGTGTCCAACCCATGGAGGAGAAAACATTGCACTATTTTCGACGCTTCAACATTGGTCACACATACCCTGAAGAAAATACATGTACAATAACGGTTTAACTTCTAATGTTTATACATTCCAGTCAGTAAGCCGTTTGCAGCAGATCTTTTATTAATGATCCTTTTGTTTCGTTTATATGTGCTCATACTCTGTTTGAATTAGCATACAGATAATTAAGATTGTATAGTGAATGCTGACGGAATAACCTTTTAAAAGATAATTGGTGTCTAATAATTCTTACAGAGGGAAAATGACAATTATTGACATTAATTAATGGTATTTGTGTAGTTACTCAGCATTTCAAATCATAAACTTTAGTGGTTATAAACAAGGTGGACATAACAGTCTCACTTATCTGTTTTTGGCTTGTAGTTAAATTTAACTGAAGAAAAAAAAGTTGGGCGTAGGGAACAATCAACGGTATGATTGATTTTCACCTTGGGAAACAGTTTCCTGATTTAAATCATCTTGTTAAGAAATTTAAATGCCCATTTGCTAAAATATAATGATAATACAGATAAGTGTTTACTTTAGACCAAATGGGACAAACTCAATTGCTCAAATCATGTTGTCGTTAACTATTTTCATTAAAACCAGATAAAATGCCGATTAGAAATTTCTCATTTGGGTTGAGAGTGTAAAGTTCTTGCCATACGGTGAATTAATATCTTCAGGTTTGTTCATGCAAAAATGTGTATCTACACTGGTGTACTTTGTACACAGGTTATCGTGCGCTCGCACAAGTGTCTACTTTTGCTGGCAATGCAGTCAGCCGTAAATAATTTATTGAGCACTCTAAAGCGATGAAGATGTAACCCTCTATAGAATCAGATTACTGTTTGCACTCTCACCATTATACGACTCCATATTAATGTTGTTTTACCATTTTCTTAATGGAATTATGGTATCATCTCACTTGTGCTAAATCATCTTTCCGTTTGACAAATCCCCAAACCTCAATCCTAAACAGCTTTCTATCGGCCAGAATGCTGTACTTTTAGAGTGCCTTTGTGATTTTTAAATTTAAAATCAGGAAGGATTGTACTAGAAAAACAAGTAGCAATTCATAATGTTTTCGAAGGGGTCGTGTAGATTTTTGTTGAATATTGCCTCATAGAGAATATGAAACAAGATATGGGACAGAGAGCAACCCCTCACCTTTGTGTTGGTCACTGTTTGATCGGAATCTCAGGAATTACTTTCGGACGTCTTGGGTTGTGTGTCAGGTAACAATAGTCTAGAGTGTGTAAGGATTGGACGTGTGGGGGATACCTGTCTGTCTCTTATCTTGCTGGGTACATCGTAGATTGCCCTCTTTTATGGAGTCTGACTAGCGTGTATTAATAGTTCTGATGTAACCTTCAAAACGCCGACCATCTATGTTGAGTGTTGAAGTCAGACATACAAAAAGGGAGGGTGGTTCTGTTTACCGATGGGCAAAAATTGTAAGTTACTATGCACATTTAAAACTACGATCAGAATGCAAATGAGAATAACGAATTTAAAGTTCCTTCAATGTGGAAATGTGAATGAAAATAGTGAATTTAAAATTCCTTCAATATGGAAACACAAATTTTAAGTCTGAAAATTAAGTGGTTGAACTAGGTGTATAATCGGTAATAATCATTCCATCAGTCGGGATTCATTTGACAGGATTCCAAACAAGTTTTGTTGTTAAGCTATAAACAATCCAACTTTCACAATTTCCATCGTAATTGACCTGGAATAGTAAGTGGTAGTGGCCAAATGTTTATGTAAAGGATGACATCTTTCAAACTATAATACGTTACAAAGACTACGCTACCTAATTTAAAACGCGTTAAACCGTAGTTAAGTATTGATGTGTATGTCATGCTTTCATGAAACTTCACTGTTTATCAAGTTTTTATCTGACTTTTGTCGGGGTTAATCTAGTTGACGAACGAGCCACTTTTCCCTCTTCTTTTTTCGGAGAAAGTCCTTAAGTTCAAATTCACAGCTTGTGATATCCGCATAAACCTACCGCGTACCGAAAAATTATTAGACCTGCTCACCCTTGTTCTTGTACCGTGGATTTTATTAATTCTTTACGTAAAAAAATAAAACCTTACTCACCTTGAAGTCGGGCTTTCATAAGGAATCAAGATGCACGTTCTCGTGCATCTTGATGCAGTTTTTTGCTGGCATTCGGCGACAAGCATTGGTAGCATTTTGTACAATCAAGTTAGGGGAACAGAGTTTCTATGTGCTGTAGTATCCACACCTAATTTACTACTATTACTAAGAACACGACCTCCCTCAAGGACGTTGATGAAGTTAGTGGAATTGCCGTATTGAATCAGTAGGACTATAAATATAAGGTAGTCTTCCCTTACTAAACTGGTATTTGAATTTCTGAAATAGAGAAACTATCAAATTTGATGGTAATTTTTATTCCTAATTTCAATCATAAGTCATTTCATAGTCAGGTCAGACTGTTCTCGTTCTACTACAACATCAAAAATAGCTTAAGTTCTGATAAAGCTCTGCTGCGCTCAAAAGCCCGCCAACTGGATTTTTTGTTTATTGAAATGCTTGAAAAACTTTGAAGACAGAATCACCTGTGGGGTCCACCATTTTGGCTGCAACCGTCTTCTTCAAAGTCGCGTTGGTTTGATATCGTAGATGCGGATCATCACAGAGGATGATTTCTTCCAAGATTTGTGCAACTTCCTCTGGTTGTATGTAGACACCGAGGGCGGATTTCAGGTCCTTCTCCCAGTAGTTTTTGTATAGTTCTTGGGCCTCCTCTTCCCAGGTTCCGCACACGTAATCTGGTTTAAAATCTGGGTTCATTGCTTTCTCCAGAAGAGGTGTTAGGACTGCGGAAGGCTCCAAAATACTGACTCTGTTAGAATCACGAAATAGTAACTATATTTGGACAGTTTCGATGCTTTGATTGGATCTATTTATAAAGGCCCGAAACGATAGCACATGCACTGCTCTCTGGAGTGCAAGACTAAGGTCCAGTTTGAAATAAACGGGTGCTGGTCATTATGTGAAGGCTTTTTCTCTAAATTCTGAGCAGTAGAAGGTGACATATCGGGTTACGCAGGTTTGTGGTTGGCTCTCCAGTTCTGATATGAAGACGTCATTCAGTCTAGTTTGAGACCTTACCTGATATTGTAACCTTTGCGAAGAACGGGCGCTAAGCTCTCAGAAAGTCCCTCAAGTGCAAATTTAGATGCCGAATAAAACTCCAAGAAAGGTGTCGCTGTAGTGGAAAATAAAACGATCTTGATTTTGTTGATTTTTATGGATGTTGCCTTGATGGGATTTTGTTGGTAGATTAGTGGATACTTTGCCACTAAAAAGGTTAAATCTTTACACCGAAGATTACAAAAATGGTTGGTCAATTATTGAGCAATGACTAAAAAATCAAATCCTGTAATTTGCATTACCCTCTATGCCTGTTCCGCTCGTTGTGTTGATTATTCGGCCGAACTTCTGTTTCTTCATCGTAGGCAAAACAGCATGAATAACTCTTGCTGGTCCCAACACGTTAACTTCCATCATGGCACGAGCGTCATCAACAGAGCTTCGTGTCTTGTTAAAGAAGAAGCCTATTTGATCTAAAATCCCAGCATTGTTAACTGAACATTTGTAAAAAGGATGCAGAAAGAGAAAAACTTGAAACAGTCAACTCATTACAAGATTTACAGAATGTACTCGTGCCTGGGCACTGCATATTAAAGTTATCGCCACACGGGGGCGCTGTCATGTAAGCATTATTTAGAAACTCGAAATGGAACTCAGGGCGTTCGCCCTCAAAACAGGTGGGGTTGCATGCCAGTAAAATAAACTTCCATAACCGACAGTGATATATACCCGAACTTCAAAAAATCGGGAAAAATAATCCCAAGATTCTCAGGCGTTCGAGATGCACATCAAATTAAAGCCCATTTTATGATTATTAATTTTCTTTTCAAATTTCCATTGGTTAACCGATGACTTTTAAAGATATTTTTCCACGGACGGTCACCCCTAAAAAGCAGTCGTGAAGCCCCTAGCCATTTTGAAATATCGATGCCTACACTTCTCGAAATATAGAACGTTTTCAGGCACCGATTTCTCCTAAATCTCACTCAGACACAAGCTAGTATTCTCTTTGCTCGCCTTAACCTGTCTTTTCTACAAATCTTCACGTTCTTGGGCCATAAAATGCATTATTTTTCAGAGAATAGTGTGCATACAAATTGTAACGTTGCCCGCGCAAGCAGGTTTCGGCCAATTTACGGGCCTGCAACCTTGACACTCGACACGTTCCTGTTCAGCGTACATGTATATACATCATACCTTCTGGCGGTTCAAGGAAGGTTGGTCTGGTATATTTTTTTGGTAGTTTGTATGACTTTTATATAAATTGAAAAGTAATCAGTGTCTTCCGACTGAATGCGAACAGATTATATTCCAAACGGGTAAGTGTCATAACTTAAGAGGTCTAAATTTAACTAATAGTTCCTTAATTTATTTTCAAAATGAATTAAGCAGGCGCGGGTTGAGGAGGTCAAACCTTCCCCTAAAAGTCATTCAATTTTTAATAAGTATTTAAATAGCACCTCTAAGAAAAACATGTTTTCTCTGATTTTTTTCTGTTTAAATAAATATGGAAGCATCCGAAACGAAAGCAGTTTCATCTGTTTTTAGAGCTCAACTGTAACAAGCTAAAAAGGTTTTTTTTCTGTTCATGACAAGATGCGAATTCTGAATGTAGATTGCGTCATTCGGAGGAAACGGACAAAGCGAGGCGAACCCTCGCCCTGTGTTCGTAGTGGATGAACTCTTATGCATACCAAACAATGCATGTACCCGTAGCCATTGTTGGCATGCATAAGGGTTTGTCCACTGCGAACTCTGAAGACAAATGACACCGCGTTTGATTTAGATGCATGCATATTTATTTGAACAGATTAAATCAGAGAAAACATGTTTTCCTTAGAGATGCTCTTTTAGGACCCACGTCTAAAGGTTGAAAGAGCTCTTAGGAAGCATTAACCATTTAGGTGTCTTATTTTGAGCGTACGGTTAAGGAAACACCAGAGATTCAATACGGCTTCACAACGACGACTGCCTACACACATATACCTGTTTTACATACAAAGTGTGGACATTCCTTTGTTCTCCCGCGTGGCTAAGGAAACTTAACAAAAATGCTCCATTTTCTCCAACTAGGATAACTCCTTCGAGCTGGATTTTTGATGATGATTTCCTGGACTGTTCCTGTTCATTTTGCTACGGATAACATTGACCCCCAAATGCCTATAAAACTGTTTTTCAGAGAGGGGAAAACATTGTGTGGACGTGTTTGAGTCCGCACAACGCCATCATACCCTACAGTATGAGGACTTCTCTGTGCAGAGGTCCACACTATGTATGCCCCGCCTGCACGGTCACCCACCCACTCAAGTGTGTATTTGCCTGCAAC